CTGCAGTCCACTTCAGCCTGGATGAGAACAACTTTTGGGACATCAAGGCTCTGTGAAATTCAATGGAAACTTCAGCTCAATTCATATCATTGTGGGAAAATTCTACTACCAGTCCTTCATCACCTTACACGAAATAGGGTGAATACATCTCATCACACTGATAATCATTGTGGGAAAATTCTACTACCAGTCCTTCATCACCTTACACGAAATAGGGTGAATACATCTCATTACTTTTAGCTTATCAATGCTGACTTTTGACAAAGAAGTTAAAACTATGAACCCCGTCGTTAGTCACGATCAGACGTTGAATTAGTTGCATCCTGGTCTCTGATTCCTAGGTCGTATATATATGACAAAAATGTGCGAGCCCCACAAAAAGCCCTTGTCTCAACTTTACCTTTCAATGAGGTCCTTTAATCTCAAAGGCTGACTGGTAGTAAATTTGGATTCACTGGCAATGCATGTTGTAGAATCTTCCATCAATAAAGCAGGTGATCCGCCCTAGTTTCACTTTCTTCAGATGTTAGGGCGTTACCATGACATCTTCGAGTTACAGGCGCATCAATTCAGTATGATATCTACTCATCTTGGAAATAGACCTTCGTTTACCTGACTATTCAACACCACTTGGTCATTTTAATGAAACTTGCTAGCACTTCTCCACTTAAATTACTTTACTTTATGCCATCCAATTTGAGCATGCTTCGAAAGTAGAGGTAGTTGTTGAATTCAAACTTGGTCTCCCCCAGTCGCTTGAGATGATTAGGAACAAATATTGGAATTTTCCCACAATGATATATCAATTGATTTCAATTGGGGGCAATGATAAGATCGTGGCAAGGTCGAGACTGTGGTTTACACTGGTGGGTCACGCTTTTCAAGAGGCAAGGTTGAGCCAAATTTACGGGCTCCGTGAGGCCTGCTCATGTAATTGTGGGAGAATTTCGCTATCGGTCCATATGTCACCTTCGGTGACAAAATGTGGTAAAGTTCTCATTTTAAAATAGATTATTTGTCTAATCTCATAGACTGGATTAAGATGTGCTGACCGCCAAAACGTGGAATAATGACGACTTATTGGAAGGGTTAAGACTCATTGTTTAATGAGGCACTTTTTATGACTAATGCAGTCTCTATGCTTCCAGGTGAGTTTGACGCCTGGTGAGAATTGATTTGGTATATCGGCATAGAGCCAACACTATCTTTAAGCCTTGACCAACATGCTTTAGGCAACAGTGATAGCAAAAAGAGCCAAAGTGCTCAGTGTCGGATGTAGAGTGGCTTGAGATTATAAACGTGCCAAGCCAAGAAGGCACATCCTTCATTGTCAGGCTCTATGGTCTGGTTGGGCCGAGTTCACCGTGATGGACTCGAGCTCGACAGAATGTGCTCACTAGGCTGGGGATGCTCAGAGTTAAAAAGTCTTATTCACGATTTAGTGAAAGGCTCGAAAACCTACTTTATTCGAATCCACGTGACGTAATTTAATGTAATGACAGGATCCCCTATAAATGTGGTATGGGAGAAGCCTGATCTTCCTTGAAGTTCACATCTGGTCTGTGACCCAAAGACAATCGTGGAAGTGTGATGTAGCGGTAACATGTCTAGATTTTATACTCCACGATCCTGGTTCGATGCTCACTGGAGATGCTGATGATACCGAGGCGAGGTTGAAACTACAGTCCAGTCCGTTCGGAAACAAGGTAGTGTGAAATTCAATGCAAGTGTGAAGCCTACTTTTCGCATTGCGGTAAAATTCAACTAGCAGTCGTCTCCTTATCACCTGAAACGAAATAGGGTGAATGCATCTGATGTATTTATCATAAATTTCGTCGACCGCGACACCTCGAATGCCGCGTTTGCCGACCTTATCCGATGGGTCAGTTCTGAGGATATGCGGAAGAACTTAGCTTTACATTTTAGGGGCTACTTCTAATTAATCCCCATACAACTTTTCTCCCTAAAATGATCTCTGAATTTTTTTTGGTATCATTTGGTCTAGACTCAAACAATCTTCATCTGGAAAATAGGCTGAATTTGTGGAACGTACCTAGTCCTATGTCCTCTTTCATAGTAGTTGTGACTATTTCCAGCATGGGAGCGTTGAATTGGTAGATTCACTGGCGTTTGGCAGGTGTCCTAGTAATCTATGACTCCTCTCACTACTAAGATGCCGGCAAAGAGTCTGGAAATCTACTATGTCAACGAGCCAATTATGGAAATGAGCATACCTACTTTGGCAGAGAACGCTTGAAACCATTTGGAAAATTAGGTCAGACCATAGACCACACAGCTAAAGGAGACTGAGGCCAAACCATAGCCACACCATATTGGTCTTCGTCTCTACGATTGAAAATATGAAGTCGATTAGACAAGTTCCGACAATTTTAATTGATATTGCCTTGGAACTCGAGTAGGCAATAGTGATGGCTATAAGGCCTTAAGGGGTCATTCAGTTTTCCTTATACTTGCCTCAAAAGGCTTCAATATCCAGGCTCGATTGCCCTCAACTTTATCAGAAATTATCTTGTGCCAGTCTAGCGACAAAGTTTTGACTCTGCCACAGAGCTGGGTGCCACTAGTTAGCAGAGCAGATGCGACTTTCCAGCCAAGCCAGCCCTACCCGATTCAGCTAAACAATGGGAATATTGTCGATTGGACAAACTTGTATTTTCCACTTTTATCAACGATATTACTGTAACTATTGCATAGTAACCCGTGTCACTTTAGATGGTCCAAGATGACATCAGAAGCCGTAGATGAATTCACCACGATCAAATGAATAGAAGGCTTTGTACAAAAGAGAAATTTCATACCGGAAGGATGGCTAGAAACACACGACTCAGCTTCGAATCTGATCGGGGCGCCGAAATTGCAGACATACAGGACGAGAATTTCTATGACATTACGAGGCCTTCTGTCCATTTAAACATGAGTATCTCGACTCTTCTTCGAATTACAACTTCGGCTAATATATGATACGACAAAATCATCGCGAGATTCTGAATGATTTTGAATACCGTTCCCTGTTGTCATGTTTATCAAATGATATGCAAGCGCCTAGCCCACAATGCTGAATATCTGCCAGGCTTTCTGAAGTCATGCCGGAGTGAACCGCAGTCGCCAGGGCGGTAAAGTCCCGCTGTGACCGCTGCACGGAATGTTCAGTCCGCATAACGGGCCCTTGACTCTTCCACCGAGATCTTGCCATTTCAGGAGCATGACACAGGACGGTGTATGAAAGAACGGATGGCAAATCGTCGCATAGCTCCGACTACCAACCCAGAGGTCGGGCATGTGTCTCCGCGTTGTCGCTGTGCCCATCACATTACGGCTTATGGATTTCTAAGCAAAGGGGCCCAAGGGTGCACCCGAATGAAGAAGCGATGATTTCTTCACTGACTAGCATACACAAACACACACACACACGCATACATGCATATACACACAGACGGCTATGCATACGTACGCATATATTGGTGTACATGTGCATATATATATTAGTTGTGTGTGTGTGTATATGTGTGTTTGCATCATTGTGACGTCCAGACGAAATAAAGCGTAAATTTGTGAACGCCAAGCCTTATGATCCATGGTACAGAAGTGAGGAGCACAAAAGGCCTTTTTGCTTGGTAGACTTGCGGGAAGACCTGCACTGGTGCAAACCCTCTTCTTGTATCTCCGTCTGAGTGTATGCGGGCTGACAAGCTGGCGAGCCGACTAACACGCACACACTTCAGCACCAGCGGACCAATTGAATGATGTGAATTAAGCAATATGCTTAAGTGAATAAAGGCTGCTACTGACCGTGATTTTTTCATTGTCAGACAAACCTTGTGCCTCGTCTTTGACGGAACGAAGAGCCTGGTACTGGCACACCTGTTTCCTCGCTCGGCAAGTGGTACAGATCCGTCGTACTGTTTTGGTCTGAGGCCTCCGGCCGGCAGCCGTTCGCCCATCTCCCGCCAGCCGTCTCTGAACCCCGTCAAGACTTCCAGCAGCAGCCTCCGGGCGCTGCTGAAAGGCTGATGCACGATTTAGCCTTTCAGCAAACCGTCTCCAAGTGCGGCTTGCCTCTGCATTAGGCCGACCGGAAAACCGTGTCTCTTCACCGTACCTCCCCATCACTCTCCGGACGGATTGCCCAGGCCGCCTCGACATGAGAGTGAGACAGCTCGAACCCGAAGAGATGGCCACCTTGTACGGGCGGGCTGAATTTGTAGGCGTGAGTCTGGCGAGTGCTGTCGTCTGCGCGATAATCCACCACGTCATCAGTCCGTTGCTAAGTACGAAGATTACGCCAGCCTACTCCCAGCTTGCGAAGAACAAACGTATGGAGTGGGATTCCTAGTAAGTGGCCATTCTTGCTCTACTTTCTGCCTACAATTAGCCCAAGTGTTTAGGAGAATAATCCGAATTTGTGCTGCAGCTATAGCAAATAATTTCAGACAGACACACAAGACTTTTCACCTTGTAGCATTATCTTATATACTAAGTGTTCCCTCCTGAGATGACATTGCTGGATTGACTACTTCTTCGGCTAAATTGGAG